CAGAGTCGCCCACCTGGCACTTCTTTCTTGGGAAATGCAGGACCCCCGGATGGGGAGGGCGCCCCACCTCCTCAGCTCCCGAAGGAGAGTCCCCAGGCCGCCCTCCCTCAAGCCCTGGCCTCGGCCCCAGAAGCGCCCCCCTCTCTGTGGCCTGGACCCCAGGGCCTGTCCATAAGTCAGATCGGAGCTGGGGTGGGTCACCCCGAGACTGAGAAAGACCCTCTCCACCTCCCGCGTGGCAGGGTTCGCTCTGCTTTCTAGCTACGGCCCGAGTTAATTTCTTTCTTTTTTTTTTTTAAATAATTTTCTTTCTTTTTTTAAAATATATTTTATTGATTTTTTACAGAGGGAAAGGGAGAGAGATAGAGAGTCAGAAACATCGATGAGAGAGAAACATCGACCAGCTGCCTCCCCCACATCTCCTACTGGGGATGTGCCCGCAACCCAGGTACATGCCCTTGACCGGAATCGAACCTGGGACCTTTCAGTCCGCAGGCCGACGCTCTATCCACTGAGCCAAACCGGTTTCGGCCGAGTTAATTTCTATCCAGTAAAAAACAAACGTGAAATGTTGATCAATTTGCAGTTCGTTTGCAGCCGGATGGGCCCCTCCCGCGTGTTTTTGCTGCTGGCAGACGTGCTTTCCTGAAGCCAGATGTGCGAGGGTAAAGCCGGCCTCCTGCGCCTTCACACGGCGCTTTGCACCGCCCGTGGATCATAGGATTTGCCTGTTTCAGCCCTGATCCCCCAAGATCGCATTAAGAAAAGATTTTGTATTGATTTCAGACAGGGAGGGAGAGGGAGAGGGAGAGAGACAAACATCCGTGATGAGAGAGAACCATGGGTCGGCTGCCTCCTGCACGCCCCACAGTGGGTGGAGATGGAGCCCGCAACCCCAGAACATGCCCTGACGGGATGGAACCCTGACCTCCTGGTTCATAGGTCCACGTGGGCGGGGCCCATCTCGAGTTTTAATTAGAGAATCAACGCCATGGAGGAAGGTTAGCCCACCTGTTGGGGGTGACCCGCAGCTCAGAGATGGCGGTCAGCAGAGTCCCTGAGGTGTTTTGGGCTGTTTTCCTGCGTGTGCCGGCCACGTGCCCAGCATGGCTGGCTTGGGGGTGTTTCTTTCCACCTCTTATGTTGAGAAGCGCTGTCCCATGGAGTAGGAACTCCGAATGGCTGCTGTCATATCAGCTGCTTTATGTGCTCGCCTGGGCAAGGGCGATGCATCAAAAACGGATGGAGCCCAGCTGGTGTGGCTCGGTGGTGTGGGCGAGGACCTAGGAACCAGGAGGTCACGGTTCGATTCCCCGTCAGGGCACGTGCCCAGGTGGCGGGCTCGATCCCCAGTGTAGGGCGTGCAGGAGGCAGCTGATCCATGATTCGTTCTCATCATTGATGTTTCTCTCTCTCTCTCCCCCTCTCCCTTCCTCTCTGGAATCAATAAAAATATATGAGAGAGAGAGAGAGAGAGAGAGAGAGAGAGAGAGAGAGAGAGAGAGAGAAAACACACACACACAAAAAACACTCATGGGGCTCCATCCACCCAGCGGCCTGTGCCACTGAGCCGTTCAGCAGGTGAGTTGACGAATGTTGATCAGGATTCGAGAGGCTGTTTGGTGGTAGCCTCCGGTGTTTGCGATCAAATCAAGAACTTAACCTTGATGATGAGAGAGAATCCTTGATCAGCTGACTATCACAGCCAGAAGCAACGAGTAGGCGCGGAGAAGAGGAAGCGATGGCTACACAGTGAGTCACGCGGGCCCTGAACCCACCCAGCCCCCCAGTTCCCTAAATTTGAGGCTGTAATAGAAACCTTGGTATGGCCGCAGGGGCCAGGGTGGACCTACAGCGGCTGCCTGGGGAAAGGAAGAGAGGAGGCGTGCAGAGCCGAATAAACCAGGCCTCCCCTCCATCTCTCTCTCCTCGAGACAATAACTCGCTTTCTCGAGGCCTCAGTTTCCTCCCTTGTAAAAGTGAGGGGAGAGGAGGGTGTGCCTCAGAGGGGGGCACGCACAGGGCTGGCCGGTTTGGCTCAGTGGATAGAGAGTCGGCCTGCGGACTGAAGTCCCGGGTTCGATTCCGGTAAAGGGCACGTACCTGGGTGGCAGGTTCCTCGCTGGCCCGGGCCCTGGTCTAACTAATTAATGTGTTTCTCTCACATCAGTGTTTCTCTCTGTCTTTCTCTCTCTCTCTCTTCCATTTTCTCTCTAAAAATCAATGGGAAAATATCCTCGGGTGAGGATTTAAAAAAAAAGAAAAGAAAAGAAACACTCGCCTTAAGCAGAGCAGCCATGGGAGAGGCTGGTAGGCCATGGGTTGAAGACACCAACCCTCATGCAACTCCCAGTGTGAAGCAACCCCCCGTTTCCCAACGAGCAGGTTGCAAAAGTCTTGTGTGGTGTTTCTTGTCCCCGTGCAAGTGAACCAATCAACTTTCTGGTTATCAAGGTTGAGCTCTTGATTGAATCGCATGCATATGTAAAGTTGCCTGCATAAACACACGTATGTAGAAAGCTTGCCTTTTCCCACTCGTCCAGGCTTCGTCATCACGCAGGCTCAGGGGAGTGACCTCACTCCGCCTTCCAGAACACGCCCGCTCCCTTCTGTCCGGCCCGGGTGTCTTTGAGATGTAGTGTCGTTTGAGTCTGTATGTTGTGGGTCACTGACAATGCCATCTCCAGAGCAATATCCATGAACCATTTGCGGTCTCCATCAAGCGAACTACTTCTTGTGCTTTTAAAAGGGATCTCAAGCCCGGCCGGCGTGGCTCAGTGGTTGAGCATGGACCTAGGAACCAGGAGGTCATGGTGCGATTCCTGGTTAAGGGCACATGTCCCGGCTGCGGGCTCGATCCCCAGTAGGGGGCGTGCGGGAGGCAGCCGATCAAGGATTCTCTCTCATTATTGATGTTTCTAGCTCTCTCTCCCTCTCCCTTCTTCTCTGAAATAAAACAAAAGTACCCATTGCCTAGTGCCCTCGTTGGCATCTGAGCTGCAAGGCCCCGGATGGCAGGGAACTTGCCGTTCTGGAAGGAGGCCTGGTGGCACAGGCTTGGGGATGGCTGTCAGTGGGAGTGGACAGCGGGAGAGGCAACATCTCATCATTGGGCAATGCTTCTCCCGGGAGAGAGGGCACGGAGCCGGGTCTACACAGCCAACGTGAGGTGGTTGGGCAATTGTCCCGCACGCTCCCTCTAACTCCGGCGGGAGTGTTTAGGCCAGCGGTTCTCAACCTGTGGGTCGCGGCCCCTTTGGCCGTCGAAGGACCCTTTCACAGGGGTCGCCTAAGACCATCCTGCATATCAGATATTTACATGACCATTCATAACAGTAGCAACATGACAGTGATGAAGTAGCAACGAAATAATTTTATGGTTGGGTCACAACATGAGGGACTGTATTTAAAGGGCCAGAAGGTTGAGAACCACTGGTTAGGCCCTAGAGTC